ATTGCAGCGACGCAACGAGTACAAGCGTATATACCAAGATTGTTTTGGCACATTCTCTATTATTCTCGGTTCCGGCCGGATTTTTTTTTCTCTCTTCTCATTCGTTCCACCGTCTGTGTACTTATTTATTGTTCAAGTGAACAGCAACGAAATTCAACAGCACGGAGACATATTATGTGCTCTCATTGAATTTTCAAAGCGTTGCAACACCATTTTCACATGAAGGATCGTTTGTGGTCTGAACTTAGATTTCGAATTGGTTCGAAATGCGGTATGCAGTATACATTGCACTACTACATTAAGTTTGTTGAATAAATAGACGAAATAGTTTTTCCAAATGAAGTAAATTTAATGGTTTCGGTGGTTTTTGTCAGTTTGAACAAATACAATGGTCCGGTTTGAACGTTTTTACTCTTATCACTTATTCTCATCTTTTTGTTTACCGAATTTATGTGAATTAAAGCGAATATACTTCTGTAATATATTGTTTCGATTTCTCCACAGTCCAACTTTCAATCGATATACAAAACAGATCTACCTCTTCCCGTTTCAATATAATTCAGTTTCTATCTTCTTCTTCTTCTTTTTCGTTTTCACAATGTGTAGCAAGTTTGTCATAAATATTTTTCACCTGACGCATCTGAAATTATTTTTTCCTTTGAATGTGAGTATGTAGACGCTTTACGCGACTTTCACACGATTTACATTCAATTCAACAGTAGTTCGATGGTGAATCATGGTATCTTTTTTCGCACTACTTGCACCGATATCAGTTCATTACGATTTGTTACGGAAGAAAAGTGTAGATAGTTTTCTTTTTCAACCAGTAATCTCTCTGTATACGTAGTACATACTTCAGTTCCTTTAATATGCAAAAAAGTTTGGTAATAACCACGTACAATGCATTAAGAATAAATTTATTTTATGCATCTTCGTATATTTATTTGACTCGGGAGTTTTATTTAAATTCCGTTGTTGGGTATGAGCAAAAATTCACTTTACAACTTTGGATACAATTCGAACAAAACTTAAATGGAAATGATGCAAAATGGCACCTAAATGTTCTTGAACTGAATACACCAACCAACTACAACTAACTACAAATCCTGTTCTATTGAAATTTACAATGGCAACGTTCGCAGGCTCCATTATTAAATAAAAAAAAATCTATTGTATTTGTTAGAATGGTGTTGAATGTGGTACGCTTTGCAACTAAAACGACCTTAAAACACTGCAGAAGAGCAATGGTTTTTATTATTATACAAAATTATTTGATTATTCGAATTTGTACATTAAATTTTTCTAAATCTATCCGATTTGATTTTTTTAAATCAGAGCATGGAATCATTGCGACTCCGTACAAGACTATTTATCCATTTTCGATGGGAAAAGCACCGAATTTCCAGAATTGGCAAGAATTTGTGGCGGTGACTCATTACCAGACATAATATCCAGTGGACCAGATATGCTAATCGTATTTCAAACATCACCATATGATAGTCTATTCCATGCAACGCCCGTTTCTTATTTACTCGGTTTTGAATTACAAGTTGAGGTAAGCAACCAAATCGTATATAGATTTGGACGCAATCAGTTAAACAAAATCAAATCATTGTAATACACACAGGTGATGTTCGTCAATGCAAATTCGCAAATGTATACACGTCAACCCAGCCAATGCGAGTTTACTTTGAGTGCATACGAAAGTGTTTCGGGTACATTGGATAGTCCAAAGCATACATTGCCACCAAACACTGTATGTCACTATCATTTCCAAGGTCGACGCCATGAAATTGTTTGGATCACATTCACTAAATATCACTCAGCTGTTGATCAATCAGTATTTGAAGCACCCACTGAATGTATGCCACAGCTTCGAATTTGGGATGGTAAACTACGTGCCAATAATAAAAATGGTAAGATCATTTTATATACTTTTGGATTTTTTTGTATTTCATTTTCATAAAAACGAAAAAAACTTCACTTCTTCAGATGAACTTGTTGAAAATGTTCGAAACGCTTCACTAATGGCTGAAGTGTGCCGTGAAGAAGTTCCAAAGCTCTGTTCTCGACTATTAATATCACGTGATACACGACCATGTTCCACGCACGGTATGAGCAATTGACCGTTTAAATCAAATTTATTAAGTTTATAATTGTATTAATTGAATTTGCATTTTGGCACCTAATAGAAAGCTACTTGAGTATTACATCTGATATGACAATTGAATTTATGCCAAATCCAAGCGGAACACCACACTTGTATGGACCGTCATCTGCGTTCAAACTTCGCTATGAGTTTCTCGATACAATGCTTGGCGGTGCTCCATTGGAACCATTTCCAAAAGCGACCGGTCCAAAAGCGATGCCAGAACCGGCAGCACTACTACAAATCCAGTCAAAATCATGCAATCGTGTATTTAGGTATGTAGTTGCTCTGGCCACTCTACTGTATTAACATTTAATAAATAATACACTTTGAGTACGTACAATTGCACAGTGTAATTATTTATTTATGTGTGAAATGATAAGATAATGCTCAATTAATTGCTTTGAAATTGCAGATCAAGTGCAGCGTCTCGTGGAATTTTTCGTTCATCATCGAATGTATTTATGTTTGGTCGTGGTGGTTCTTCAAATATTTCATGCATTATTCGATTCGAAGGAAATGCTGATGAAACTGTGCGGTAAGTTAATACTCTGACAACATAACAATATATAAACGTTCCGTTGTGTATTATTTAGGTAATTTGGTTTTTTTTAAATATATCATTTTTCAGGCTAACTATAACAAGAGCACGTTTTGGCGGTCGATCATGCAAAAATGTAATGAATCGATCGGGTCGGTGGCATTGCAATTATTTGGGTGGTCCACAATCAAGTTTGAGAATTGGTGAAGTACCTTGGCCAGATATGCCACCATTACCGAGAGATTGTATCTGTGCCGATATATCTGGATCGCTTGCATTGGCACCAATTGCAGCCAGTACGGTCGAGGCACATTTCACTGCATTCGAAATGAATATCGATCAGGATTTTCGTGACTTTTACTTTGAAGGACGTTATGAATTCGTTAAAGATAATTGTCAAATAAATTGGGAAGAGCGTCGTTTACATGGTATAAGCGGTGAAACATTGTTGGGTCCATCATCATGCAATGGAATGCCGATTATACAGCCATGGCTTTTGGAACCAGAAACGGAAAACAGTTATTTAGTATTAATGTTGAAAGGTTTTTGGATGCCACCATTATTGAATTCGGTGCCACCGTGTCCAACCGATGCTCGAATCACTGTTTATTCCACAAATAATCCAAAAGCATCGCGTGATTTGTGCCCATCGGGTCCAGATGTGGTCGCATTTTCTGACGGCTGGGATAGTGTCCATCAGTTTAATCCAATTGAAATATCAAAAAATCTTGTTATAGAATTTCGTGTGCCATGGAGGTCTGGAATCGATACAACTGAATATAAAATTTCTTGGATGGAAATTTATCCGGACATGGAATGCTTACATAAATGCAGTGAACTACAAGCTTGTATATCACCATCCCTTTGGTGTGATGGTAAAGTGCATTGTTTGTCTGCACAAGATGAAGATCCAAGTGTATGTGAAACAAATCCACCGCTATCACCGCTACGGTAAGTTTTGTCACATGTCATATACGGGTGTATTGTGTTGGTGTTCCTTATGTTAAAATTTAATTTTGCAATTTATGTTTTGTAATTGCATCGATAAGGGTTGGAATGGCTGTGGCTGCTGTCACCATTTTGCTGTCCTTAATCGCCGGTTTGGCAGCATGCGCCCGACGAAGACGTAATGAAAAACAAAGTAATTTTCACAATGATCATGATGATATGAACAGCATGACAATGGGCTCAAATCTTAATAATACAAATATCGTCACTGCACACAGTCAACAGGTATGTCATTTATCATAATTTACAAATTAACATATTTATTAAATATCAGTATAAATCAACTTTATTGAAAATATAGTTAAACGATTTCACTTCATTCGTCAAATTTAAATTGATTTAAATAATCAGTAAAACATATTCGAAATAAATCATTTTAGGCACGTCGACACCATCACAATCATGGACATCGAAGTCATCGAGGCGCATCACCGCATCCTCATGCTTCTTTGTCACCACTTTATTTAGACCCTCAATCGAATCACAATTTCTGTTGACAAGATGTCGAAACATCAGTTTAGCTGATTAAGTAAGAAAACTAAAACAAAATCCATTTGTCACATTTAATAAGTAATCGATCGAAGTTCAGCTCTCGTAAGAAAATTAGCTGGGCAAAATATTTTGTAAAAAAAACGCAAAAAAATAATATTTAAAAAAAATCAATATCATGTTAAAGACATTCATCGACCTTGTTGGGAGAAAGTAGTTAATTGAAGACATACATGTGAATCTCTACCTAGCCTACATGCATAAATCACTTTTGTCGACTTATAACTCTCACTAGACATAATGGATCATTGAGGATCATAATGGAGGATGTCTCACCTATTATTAAATTCACCTGAAAAGTTTATAGTCAATTTTTCATATTTCGCTCAGCTGAAAAAAAAATGATTGCAGAGTAATGAATGAAACAACATGTACGTATATCAATTTGTAGACACAAATTCTCCATAAAATGTATTTCCAATTCTCGAATAATCAATCTATTACGTATTTTCGGGTATTTCCAACACTGACATAAATCGGACGGGAATGTTTGCGAATTTAGTTTGGAAAGTGTCAATTAATTGTCTGTTTACCATATGATATGATAAAAAATTTAATAATATCGTGTCGACTTCATCAAGAAGTGAACAAGTTTCATACAATTTTTAAGTTGTAATTCAACCCTTTCCGAATGATATCAGCAAATATTTCACTCAAAAGGTTTAGGTCACTTTATTTTCACATTTTTCCCGCTCTTCTGCTGAACTAACAAATATTTTTATATATCAAATCATCAATCCAAAATCAATCAAATGCTAGTCGATAAAATACATTCATTATTCTCAAACAACATCGAACATTCGGCATCGAAACAAATTTAATAACTTTTCATGCGATTAAAAAAAAAGCCGTCATCTTTAAATCTTTCTTCATGCGTGAAGGATACAATACTACGGTCAAATACCATGGCACCAACAATAATAAGACAATTCATTGAACATTTTTTTTGTCATGTTAACAAAAGTAAACGAAAAAAAAAATTATACTGTTGTAATTTGCAAATGGCAAACGGAACGAGTCGAAACAAAAGACTTTTTTTCGAAAGCCACGCAGTTCATCGATTGTGATATAAGGATTTATGTGAATATCAATAATGGCGATTACAACAAAGGTAAATAAAAAAAACTGAAATAAATTAAATATTAATATAGATGTTGACAGAGAATTTATGGACATTATTTATAATGTTCAAAATGTATATGGTAATTTTTTTTTTTGAAAATGGCATAACACTTTTTTTCAATTAATATCCTTTCATTGTTAAGCCCAACTTTCGTCATATTGCTAAGAAATTTCGTAACCATGACACATTCATTCGGAATACATACATTGACGAATATTTTACTACATACCTAGTCATCCGATGAAACACGAAATGAAAACGGAATTTTATCTAGCAAAAAGTTCTGCACTGTAAGGCAATTGTAACAAACAAACAACAAACAAAATCTCAAGTCGATACATTAAACTAGTTTTTCGCATATAAGATAACTTAAATTTTAGATAATAACAGGAATATTCAACACAAACAAACATTATTGATACTCAGCGCACTTTATACTCCTTGAATAGAAACAAAAAAAAAGTAATACATTTTATTCTCTAGGCTAAAGAAATCAGTCGATAATTTCATCCGTTGATAAATATTATTATGTGAGAAATCTGAAGTGATAACCATTATAACATTGTTTGCCGAGATTGGTAGAAAAAAATTTCAAAAAATTTAATAAAGCAAGCTCAAAGAAATACTGTTGTAGCAAAGTTTTTTCCAAATGAATTGACATTTAATGAATATTTGCTACAAGAAAATCAGCAATAATCACTTTGTACTTAATGAAAAATGTGGCATCCAAAAATTGGTATATATACATATAATTTGTTGCCATTATGAATGTGTTGATATTGCGAATGATAAATAAATCATTATCATAAATGAAAAACTTTCGCTTGAAAATCGTTTCAATGATTTTCAACCTGACACTTTGCAAAATCAAAACTCAATACCTTCATTTTCTCGGTGTAGATTTTGAAAAATGTTTGTGGCACAGCAGCAACAACAAAAAAAATATGATTTTACAAATAATGCGAAAGTCGTGTTGTTAAAATGTGCAACAAATTCAAAAAGCATAAGGTAGTTGAGAAAATGAAAGGTTCTGAAATAGAGCAGATGTACCTAATTTCAAGTTTATACATCGTCGCTCCTTACATCAGATTTATTTTCTTCACTTATACTTTAACCATCAAGCTACAGCTGCACCAATCACGTAGCGTGTACTTATTAAACAATTTCAATTTAAATTCCATGCCATTAGATCTCATTAAATGATAAAATTCAAAACGTTCAACTGAAAATGGTTGAAATAAGTTTGTACGTGTTGAGTTCTCCGCCAATTAAAGCCTGATAAAAATCAATCAAATCGCGAATGTAGCATACATTTACATTGTCAGTTGTAGTCTTTCCTTGTGAACTCTGCTGAATGTTAAATATTGATTTTCACTTCGTATACCAAAGAATGAATATTCAGAGACATTCACAACGAATTAAAATACTCATCTAAATAATTTTATTTTAAAGCTGAACATTTTACACCATTTATTGACATGTTTAATCGACATTTCTATCGTTTGCAAAATCTTTCGTAATGAAAAAATAAAATTGGCCGATATTCAATATTTCAATGTTCTGCATTGATCTAATTAAGATGTTAAACAATGTGTCCTTTTGTTTTGATAAGAAACTTGAGTCTGAAATGAGAAAGAAAATTCACCTCAATTATTGAAACTATACATTATTCGGATGTGGTGCCGGTGCGGTTGAGCCTCATTCATTTTACCGATACAGACTCTCATTTCAGCTTGGGGGAGAGGAGAGAAAAAAAAATCATCACCAGATGTTCACTTTTAAAATATGCAGGCATTTTTCACGTTAGCCGTCGCCCTTTCATTTTGGCTGCTGCTAAATTCTACCATTGATTTATGAAATAACTTGTTACCAAATAAATATTTCATCCCATAATATGGGAAAATTTACCATGAGAAAAAGTCATATACACTACTTTTTTGTCAATGGAACACCAACTGTGGCATTTATATTCAAAATGCGTCTGAACGTGAATTATTTATGGAGAACGCACATTGTGAGAAACTTTAGTCATTCAGCACATTTTCAAATTTGTAACAATATCATCGAGAAAATGAGAAACTAGAAGGCAAAAAGAGTACAAGGAATTTTTAAGTGAAGTTTCCTGAACGTGGAAAATGTGTTTATTGTGTTAATAAAACTAACCTATCTAAATACGTATAAACCGCACTTTTCACAACGTTGAATATTGTGATTTGGTCAATAATTTTGGTAGAAATGATTTCATTGACGTATTGAAAGCGCTTCCACAGTAATTGGTTGAATATATAAAGAATTTCGGTTGAAGTAATAGCAGTAATTATTTATACAATGAATGGAGTTAGTTTTACCCGAAACCAATCAATTCCGATGATTCAGATTATCCAAATATAAATCTCATGCAAGTCTGTATAATGTGCGTGTCTGAAACGTAAAAATAATGAGTCTGATTTGTGAATATAAATTGAACGTAATTATTAAACCAAGGAGAAAGAACGGTGGAAGTTGAATAAACAAATCTATATAAACAAATGTGATTTTGAATAAAAAAAAGGTATAACGAATAAATGCTAGATTAAGACGAAAAAAGTAGAGAAGTGAACATGAAACAAACCGTGGAGGAAGATATTAGAGAATAAATAATAAGATGTGGAGGAAGATATTATGTTTTTACAAGGCACACACACAACAGATCAACGAATAAATGGTTTAAATTGCTTTTAAATAATTTTTTCCTTTAATTAGGTTCAAGTATTGCAGCGCAAATTATATTAAATTAAATGGATGTAGCTGACTGAGTCCATTTGAAAAATAAACGATTCAAAATGGATCTCGTTATCACTGAATTTGTTTCACTTCGATTATATTTTGTGTGTGTTCAATTTTGCGTTGGTGTCAAATTTAAAGCGATTGATGTGTTTAAGCACATCAATCTTTTTATTAGCTGTCCCGAATTTGGCCTCTTTTACGTACAAGTTTAAATTATCGAAAAAAAAAATACAAATTCGATGCAAAGTCTGATGTTAAATTATAAAGTGATGTTGAATGATTGGCAACATTTGAAGTATGATACCATGTGGCAGACGACATAAAAAGCATTATGTGTGCAACGATTTGTACAGTAAACTGGAGAAAATCCATTCAGAGCGCCAAATAAATAGGTAAACATTTCAAGCACTTCGCTTTTTCGTCAGCAAAACTCTCGAACAATGAAAAAAAGATCATTGTGAAATCACATATATTCTCACTGTGATTGAATTTAAAATCAATGTACATGGATATATGATATCAACAGAAACAATTTATAAATTCGATGGCAATTCATGCTTTTTTTAGTCTTGATTAATCCAACCATTGGCTAATGAACAAAATCACTCAACATATTGTGTTTAGAGAGCAGCGATATCGAGACCGAACAATAATTTATTTACCCGAACGGCAGTTTCTGAAACCACCATCGTTATGAACCATAAGACAGAATAGAAACATCTCACTAAATAAAATCGTATCACATTACTGAATGAATTGCAAAATGCTTGCTGTCAATTTTGTTTTCTACTTACATTTTTCCTAGCATTTTTGAAATCATTCATACATTACAACGATTTTATGTACGAAAAATTTTCACCAATTTGAACATAGTTATGTACACAAATAATTACCAGCAAAATGAAATAAGAACAAATGATACGTGCTCAGATGTCAATGCTTAGAGCCAAAAATTACTCAGAAACCAACGCAAATAAAAAGATAAATGACTGAAAGTGTGGTCCGTCTTCTCTATTGTCTGTTTCTTATTGAAAAATTTGCAAACGCAAAAAAAGCACACACACACAATCAAGTATCAATTGATATAAGATCTCTCTCCTTCCACAAATGTCAAATGAATTGTTTTTGATGTCGATATCAATCATTTGCAATACAGCTGATAATTTTATAAACACTTATGAAACATTTAAAGTAATACGTAAAGAAAAACCTAATAAGACAATCTCCAATTTTAAACTCAGCAAACTTGATTTGGTTTGCACAACATTTTATTTGTTATTTAAATCAGAATAGAAAACTGTACATCGAATTTAAAACCAATTGTAGTTAAAAACATGGAAAAAATTAAGATAAGTTCACTTTTGATAGAGCTTATGTTGAATGTATAATTTGTATTGAATTTGATTAACATTGACTTTTGTTTCATTTTCAATTAAAATAAAACAACAAATATTTCAATAATACCATGCATATGCACATGATATGTCTTCACAAATTTCCGAACTTCACATCGTCTGATCATATTTTAAAGTGAATTCTGTACTCAATTCACAAATTTAGAGCCAAACAAATGGACTAAAACTTGTGAAAAATTAAATGATTAAACACAAATTGTGTTTAAAGTGTTGGAAACTTTTGGAGTACACCAAGTATTTAGAAAGCGATTTCAAAGGGAAAACTAGTTTTTGAATTGTAAATCTGATGTTGAGCGCTTAATATAGGAGCCAGTCTGTAAAAACATTCATCAATATACGTTAAATTATTATTCGAATACTGTTTTCCTGATCGGTTTCTATCGTTAACAAAAAGAAACCACACTGGCACACAGAGAGAGACACACACACACAAATTACAGAATAAAATGATAATCATTATGTTAAGATATTTCTAAGACGAACAACTTATCGATTTTATTGACTTCGATTTCCAAACGCAAATCCGAAGGCAAAGAAAATGATGTGCAGAATATGTATGGGCGCAATTGTATACTCACCATTGGATTGAATTGCAAATGTAACATATGCCACTGCCACATACGTATAATGGATTACATTATATCCGGTTGCTTGCTAGTCACTCGACTAGTAATTATATTGGCTAAAGATTTACCTCTTACAAAAATAGAGAAATCAAACTTTTCCATTCAAATGATGAAATGGATTTATTGAAATTTATTCACTCAATCCACACTGATATACATGCACACGAATTCAATATTCAATTAAAAATGATGTTTGTTTCAAGATTAGATACATTTCTAATCATTTGTTTTGTTGGTGAAATTTTTTATTTATTTTGTTTTCTTTTTTGTTGTGATATGCAACCAAAATTCAAAATGCGCATCATGGTGGCGCTTGAATTTTGAAACAAAAAAGGCCTGAATTAATAGTCGAAAATAAACATTTAGCGATAAATATAAAAATTAAAACAAGGCAATTAAATTTCATATTGTATAGTAAATTAATTGCAGACATAATAAAATATTTATTGAATATATTGTAATGCGTTTAGTTTAAGTTCCTATATAGATATGAACACTTTTTTTTAGTATGATAATACACATGTTTAACATTGACAGGTAAGCACTAAACAAATCTATTGGTCGAAAATCAAACGATTGGAGATAGTTTTAAACATAAATGTTGTTTTATTGAACATTACGATCAAGATCTTTTGAAAATCACACATGAAATTTGATAATAATTCAAACATTGATAGAATATAATCACACGAAATAGACTTGAGAATCAATCGCAAAAAACCCCAGAAATATTATTTTACAAATTATACACACTAAATCAATGTATAAATACAAACGACGCAGAATAATTTGATTCAACATTTAATTTATCACACAAAATGAGTGTAAATAAATATTATGTTTAAACAAAACAAAAAAATGATTCAACACACTTATTTGTTATTTGAACGATGGAATCGTGAAAGTACAGTAATACAGATTTGTATATTGATATTTTCACGTGTTTTGCATCAAAAAACGGTCAGAATGGTAAGAAACACATAATTTTGGTGACACCATTGTACATCTGCGAATCAAAGCGGTGAGTAAATAATACACTTCCAATACTTGAAGCTCCTTTTTAAGAATTTTAATCATCTTATCTTACTAAATCCTAATCCAAAAAGTATATTTTCGTGTTTTTAAAGTATTAAATACAAAAATTGTCACGACCGTTTTACTACCTACTAAAATAAGTACTAGATGTATAAAAAAGTAGAGGTGTGATTTCAAGCATTTGTTATCGAGCCTCCGGCATAAGTAAGCACGAGACATACTCATCGTCAAAAGAGCGCTGAATTTCAATTTAACAAGTCCGCTTTTTTAAGAAACCACACCAGGAAAACTGTTTAAATGACATGTATATGAAATAATCAAAAATTGAAATTTTAAACTCATTTGTAAACATATTTATTATTCAATGAATTGCTTATTTTTGGAATGAAGACATTTTATTCAGATGTTTATAATTTCTAAAAATATGTTATTAAATTGAATTTGAAAAAAATCAGAAAATTGACTTAAATTAAGCGTCAAACAATTCTTCGTTAATCTTAGTTTGTGATATTAAAACTAAATTAAATTAATTCTGTTAAATTTCATATGCCATACATTTGCAAGCAATCTCTGTATAAAATTAAATTGTTTAGACATTGATTAACATCAAATGTTTGAGTCTCATCGACATCAATTTTATTAATTGACTGTACAAAACCTAAACTTAGAGTGATGCATCAAAAATATATGTGTTTGTATTTATTAGCAGTTAAAAGACGAAATTCCCTGAAATTATTCACACGTCGGCCAATTTGCGGTTTTTCTCATTGTCCGAGCTATCTGATCATGCTGCAAAAATAGACAATTCATTTAAATGAAATGGTTGAAACAATTTCTTTCAATTGATTGAAAAATCAAACTTATCCAATAAATTCAGACAAATTGAGACCGATGCTCGAGCTAACCAAGTATTCGATAGTAATCATTTTTTTCTATATTTCTTATCATAAGAACTTCTTATTAAGAAGTAAGCGTCTTATGAAATAATGAACAGCTGGTGCAATTAGTTTATAGAAAACCGCTCGAGCATGGGTTTGCAGGCATCGTACATGTTCAAATTAAATTGCAATTTATAACACGATTGAATGCAACTACAAAAATAGGTATGATACAGAAAAAACCACTCAATAATGGATTTTCTATGAAACCGTTGTTCTGCCATTGAAAGTTCATTTTCGATGAAAGTTCATCTATTGTTAACGGTTTTGTATTGGATGGTTTTCCTGTACCATTCATATAATAAATGCATATAATATTTACACAACAGAAAAGTGTTAATATTTACAGCGACGGAGAGTGAATTGAACTAAAACAACAATTAAATAACAAGTAGTAGTGATACTACTACTGAAGATGGTATGTACAGTGTTACAAAGCTCAAACCCTCAAACAAAAAGCATACTATTTACCCTGAAATCTGTGATCTTGTGCGCATGCATCGGCATGCATTTAATATAGATATTTGCCTAATTATGTCGATTGTTTTTTGCATTTTTTTCATTTTTCCTAAATGTTTGAAGAAAATAAAATTTACATGTATTCGATTTTTGCACATTTTCTCGATTTTTTTCACATTTACTCATTTCATCTTTGGGCAACAAAAAAAAAACTTAATAAAATGTTATTCCGGCTAGTTAAATCTCTCTGCCTGATCTGGATTTGTATTGGAAATAAAATCATTCAGCGACACTAAACTGCCAAACATTTCTTGATTCGGAAGTTTTGTCGTTCGTGTGATATTTTTTTCACATGTGTCCGGTTTAGCATCTTCCATTGTTTGAGCATTTTGATTTTGTGCATTTTCGAGCTTATCGACAGCATCATGGCTTGCACTCTTCGTTCTATTCATTTGTTTATCGGATGGTTGACAGGGTATTTGGTCAACTGCTTTCAAGGGTCCGCCGCTACAGCGATTAAAAATTCAAACAGCAATTTGAAATATGTGGAAAATGTTTTAACTGTTTAAGCTTTTTCAGACTATGGCTACCTTTGTCGCTTGCGTTGTAAATTGTGTGTGATTAAAAAAAAAAAAATAACTGTCTATGCCTAGTTTTGTTTTCTCATCATTTTAATATCAACTTACTCAACAAGTTTTGGCGTCAATTTTGTTGCATTATCAGCTGATCCTTTAGGTGTTGATTTATTAGCCGTATTTGGCTGCGTATCCCATGAATTGTGCCTTCGCAAACCATTTGCAATGTTTTGGATGCTTTTCAAATCAAATAATCGAATAAAAATGATATCGTTGTTATTGGAATGGTGTAGTCTTGTAAATAATACGTTAGTATCGTATATAAAATGTTATCAAATATCAGGTAAAAAATGGATTCAAGCGATTCTCATGTGTATTAATATTTAAAGATGAGGTGCTATACGTTTCGAAAACAATTCATCCATGCATGTATGACGTATTACCTGTCGCCAATGCGTCTTTTGTCTAGTTCACGTTGGATTGAATTTGGCATACGATTTTCTCTAGACGAAACACGCCCATCCAAAGATTCAACGACCTGAACATTAAAACAAGCACCCATAATCAATAACAATATAACAAAGGATTTTTATTCTTCTTCGAATAAACATACCCGCTGGGAAATATTGTCCAAGCTCGCACTATGATTGTTTGAAGTCATTGGATTTGTCCAGATATTCGAATCGGTCGAATCATTGCCGCTTGTCATATTCAGCATCTCCGCAGAAAATGTTGGCCTAGCAGGAATAATTGGGGAACGACAACATACCCTTGAATATTTAAAAAGAAATACACATACATAACTAAATTTTTACTACAAACTACATAACTAGCATTGAATACATACGAATTTACATCTTCCAATTTTTTTAAAAGTCTTTCGTTTTCTCTGCAAACAACTTCCTGATCGCGTAAAATCATGTCGCGCGAATTGAAGAGTTCCGAATTTTCCGTGCGTAATGCTTCATTTTCAGCAATATATAGTTTAACTAATTCGATGATTTCATTGACTTCTAATTCGGTCATGCGTTCTAAATCGACTTTCGGTGCGATGGGAATTTCTTTGCGCTCATGATTTATCTCAGCCGCAGCATTTTCCAATATGTTTGAATGCAGATGCAACGCACTTTTGAGATGTTCATTTTCCGCTTTAAGTGCAGCCACCTCACGCTTTAAACTCAATATTAGAGCTTCACGCGGATCCATCACGACTACAGGTTTGGTGCGGATTTTTTTTGCTCGTGCCGCGTATCTCAAGGTGTTCAATGTCTCTGATATGTTCGATCGCGCTGGAGACACACATGCAATCTAAAACATCATTAACACAGACAAAATAAATTATTTTCTTTTTGTTGAATGTTGAGGTGAGTTATCACGAGATTCAAACAAAATTCAATTAATTGCAATTAATCACACACACACACACACACACATCCCAAAGTCTACAAATAAAATAAATTCAATTGTCTACCATTAAAGTCACTCCGTTGCCTGCCAGACTATCTGCCAACAATTTTGTTAATTGACTGTCACGATATGGAATATGGCCGGAACGTTTTTTTGTATCGCTCAATGATGCAATGCAGTATCCTTTAGTGGAAATAAATTATGGAGAATAAAATCATGAATGAAAAACATAAACTGTTCAAATTCGAAACAATTTTTGCTTAAAAACTAAAACTCATCAAAATACATTCAATCTATTATCCTTATAAACTGTAAGAGGTGATGAGTAGAAAAAAAACCATTTAATGTGTGCAAACAATGAGATTGTTTATTTCACTGAATTCTAAAAAAAAAACAATTCGTGTTTCAAAAAACTCCCTCCCAATTTTCAAATCATCGGTTTTCAATTTAAATGCTGGCGAATTCAGATTCCTGACATTGCTTTTTTTCCCCGTTAAATTATTCGACACCTATAAAATGTTAAAGAACGATACTGTCGAAATGCATTGAATGAACACGATAAATGCAAACGAAGAACGTTTTCTGCATACAGACCTTTTCTAATACCCATTTCGAAATCGATTACATGTTGTTCGATGAATGAACAATATTCTTCACACGCGCGCTCATCAACTTGTCGCACAATTACGCCGACAAATAATAAATTATTCCGTTTCATTCAATGATACAAGAAGCCAGCAAGCGTCGTATCAAAGTATAAAATTAATTTGAAAGCTTACTCATCATGAATAGTAGAAAAGAAAAAAAAGAATTAGTGAAATCCTTGAAATGCCAATATTGTAGATTGAAGCTGAAATGTCATTGTCACATTCAACTACAAATCAAACGCCATCATTTATTTTCCATTCAACCGGAAACTATTGTTTGCACGTGAAGAAAACATTTTAAAATAAAATAAATCTTCAATTCTATGCTTAAGTGTGATAAAGTTCACTCACATATAGCCAATTCCAGACACTTTATTTTTTGATTTGGCTCCCATGCTAAATGCATATTTCGTTGCAGTTATGAATGATTTAATCAGGTATTGATGCATATTGCATATTTTTCATCCGACCAATAGTTAAATAGAATTGAACCAACATGCATTTTATATTTATAAATGAGTCTTACCAAGAACCATTAAACTTTTGTTTATGTTATTAGCTTCTTCCAGTGTTTTTCCTTCGCTGTTCGTTTTCTTTGTCATTTCACTTCCGGCCAAGTCAACAAAATTGATTTTTCCTTGTTTTGATATGAATACACTTCCTTCAGCTTGCAATTCGGACGTTATGTGAACAGTTAAAATGGTATGACTTCTTGATGAATAATCGTTCATTCGATGGGATCCAACGGATCTGTTACGCATTCCTAAAATTTAATCACACAAATGTCAAAATTCTTCTTTTATTCAGCAAAATGATTCGAAGTACCTTCTTCTAGAACGGCCAGCAAATCATCTAACTCTTCACAGTCGACGGTAAAAAGATTTTCGACGAAAAATCCACGCGATTTTTTCGACCATCGAACTGCCAATGGCTTTCGAGCCGATCCTGGATTTAGTAAGTCTATGACCTAAGTTCATTAAAAAAAAAACATAAATTTATCACCAACAACATATAATTTATTAGATAATTTTCGTGCAAGAGAGCGCTTCTTCTGCTAAATTTATCATTTAAGTTAATTTATTGATGTTAAGTTCATTTAACGATATGCTATGATTTCAAATATTCATTATTTATTCGGTTCAATCGATATTTATCGATCAGAAAATTCACAAGATACTTTTTCATATCCACTTAGGAACGATAATTGCATTTTAATTACTTATTAAGTCTACTTTAAATTTCATTGAGTTGCTTCGGAGAAAGCACTCATATTCGATTGACATATTCACCATATGTTTGATCAATGACGTACATATAGATTAATGAATTGACGTCGCGAAGAGCGATTTACTTATGTTTTTTTTACATAATTGTCTCTTTAGTGGGCTGAACATATAAAAAAAAGTTTGGAATTGTAACAACGACAACTTTTTCGTTTCTCTTTTAGTATTACAATTTGTTGTAGTAGTGATAGTGCCATCAAATTTTGACTCAATTTTATATTCAAATAATACCTAATTGACAATTATGCGGAAACTAAATAAATAATGAGTCATTGATGATATGAGACAAGGCTCCTAATAACGGTGAACTTTTAAAATTAATCACATCGAAATTAATAACAACCCACTATAAAAACGCATAGATTTAATCCTGACAACTTATCGTAGTTTAAAACGAATTTTTGCTAGCAAATTTGCATTTTATGTTTGCAGATTTATCCGAATTACGTCATCAGCATATGATTTATATAATATTGAAGGATGTTTTATTGACATTTCATAGCAATTATGGACAAACAAGGCAGAACCAAAATTGAATAATATAGATAATTTTCAATAAGTCATCCATTGGCTGTAGATTAATTCAAAGCAAAAATGAACTTAAAATAAAACCTAATTACTATGCCCTTACTCATGTAATGCAATGAATAACTGCAAAATAATGGTGCAACTAAATAATGGACACCTAAACTATCCAATTGGTGCACGAACACTTCTGCGGTATTCAGAATTTTTACTTAATAACATCATAAACACTGAAACATGCAATCATTTTCAGCCACTAATTTTTATGGTTAAAAATTGTTGTTGATATTCCGATCCGAAAACGGTGTCTCAATCTACCACTGAGACGCCATGAAAATTATTCATCTAATGTAATTCGAGTCATGTACACAATGTATAACGTAAGCGATAGCCAAATGTTTGTATACATTTGTGTGTGGGTGTCGTGAAAAGGAGAAATCGGGGTCTGTTTAACATTGAATTTGGGTCGCCCAGAAATGAAAATTCACGTAAAAAATCTTGTGTGCGGTTCTAGTTTGTGTTGGATGCCTCTAGGTTTTCGTGTCGAAAAAAAAAACAGATTCCACGTTGGTCAATCAAATGTCATTTGGCTTACTTTTTCGTTGTAGATCTCCAAAAATGATGCCTTCAATACAAAATTGGTGTCTTTGCGTTCTTGAAGTAATTGAAAAAGGTATAAAAACGCACGAAACACTAAGCCATGGCGATTATCTGTTGGTTCTGGCTTTCCGATAAACTGAAATTAAAATTTTTGTTGACACGGAATATATGATGAGAGATACATATATGTGCGAGACATACAAATTTGTTGCGCGCTTGTATTAGATTGCTTACCAAATCGGGTGGGCCAGTAAGCGTGTGTGTTTTTCCACTTCCAGTCTGTCCATAACAAAAACATGTACAACTAAAGCCTTCAATTGCCATTTCGATAATTCGTTTTATGCCAGAATATTCGAGAACATCCGTTTGAGTAGCGCCCGGTTCAAAAACCACATTGTAACCGAATAGTTTTGGCTTTTGACCACCACTTGGACCGCCTGGTATTCCTTCACACTTTTGAAGATTTTTTTTTTTTTCATCATTGTTTTTTTTTTCTTTATGTAGAATTTAACAAAAAAAGGAAATTTGAATTTACCAAAATTTGACCATTTCCCGGAAATGACACTACACTACCATCGAGTCCTCTTCGCTCTTTTTCACTGAGTGGACGAACCCTGAAATTAGACGATAAAAATGATATCGACATTAACACAAACAAATATGTTATTATTGTAATTAAGTGAAAATATGACACGTAATCAATGTCTAAATATTCAATCAATTATGTGTATTAAACATTTCTTATTTTTTTTCCAACTTGAGTATTTATTTATAGAAGTGAAAATAATATTATCATTTACTGAATTTTCATTCGGATATTTCAAAACAAACAAACGAAAACAAGAAAAAGTGTCCAGCTGTTTCAAGCTATTCAACGGAAAAATACGAAATTCTTATCAAATATATGGTGTACACTCACCTCACAACAACATTTATATTATCTTCAGGTGTTGATGGAGCACTATCTGATGACCGCATTCTTATATTTTCAAGCGATTCAGCATCTCTACTTCGTCTAAAAGCAATAATTAAATTAAATTTATGGAATTATAAATTTCGCTACAATTATTTGAATGTTATAAACAGTTCATGTATTTCAGATAGATATCCATCCGAGATATTTTAGAATATCTGGATATTCAACGCAACTGCACAGCGCCAGAGCTGTGTGCGTCGCAAATAGAATATACGGTATGTCGCGACGTATATGTGTATCAAGTGCCGCACGTACACAGTCACACTGTGTCTGTATTTTACGTGTGGCGACATACCGTAGATTATATGTGCGACGCACACAGCTGTGGCTCTGTGCAGTTGCGTTAAATATCCAGATATTCTAAAATATCTCGGATGGATATCCATCCGAAATACATAGACTGGTTATAAAATGAATTATTTTTTTGTTTGCCACTAGTGGAAATAGCTATTAACCCTTAACCGGGCAGGTCGGGCCTCTGAGACTCCGTAAAGCATTTTTTTAAATAATTCTTTTTTTAATTGCTTTTGTATGGAAATTGTATGGAAAGCCTCAGAAGCCTTGCCTGGCCGATAGTGTTACTGTTTTAACCTGTCCACTCACAGAAGACGTCAGTTGTAATATTTGTGAACTCTGGTAGTAATTTACTAAATTACCACCATTACAATGTGTGGCATGGTGATTTTTGTATGTATTGTATTTGCTTTGCTGTGACAGCGCTGTACAGTATTACCACCAACACTGCGTTGAGCGATAGTAATATTGCTCAGCAAAGCACATACAATACATACAAAAATCACCATGCCACACATTGTAATGGTGGTAATTTAGTAAATCACCACCAGAGTTCGCAAATATTACAATTGACGTCTTCTGTGAGCAGTTAAGGTTTAATAATCCGCTTCGATGGGAACTAGTATCTTATATTCCCCATACATATTTAATTATCGATTCTACGAACACGACATCTGTTAAAAAAGATACCGATTTTTGTTACTACTGTTGCTTTGACACAGCTCGAGCGAACTATACGGCTATGGCTGTATTACAGACGAACCAATACAAAAGAACACACTGATTCCGATCCTGTGTATGCGTATGTATTGTAAATTTTGCACAAGCAGCTACGATTGACGACTGAGTGCAGAATTTGTAATACATACGCATACACAGAATCGGAGTCTGTGTGTTCCTATGTACGTTTACACGAGCTGTATTAAAACACCACTAGTAACAGAAATCGGCGAGTTTTTTAGTAGATGTCGTATTGGTGGAATCGATAAAGAAAAATCTACGATATTAGCACTCATTGATCCGCTTTTTAAAGTTAAAAAATTAAACGTTTTTAAAAACTGAAAAGCATCAAGGTACCCCTTTAAAAAATCTTGCAAGTTCCAATGTTTCTAAGATTGTTTAAGTTAAAAAGAAATATGATTGACGTTCAGTGATATTCCAAAAGGACGAAATCAATTAACAACTCTTGTATTCGTATCGACACACCAATTTCAACAAAATGAATTTTTTTTACATTCATCTATTACTTTGGGTATTCGGTTTGTCTAAACACGGTTGCACACTCATTTTGTATAATTACTTGTCAAGCTACGCATGTGATACTATATTTAGATGTGTTCATTATAAATGATTATTTCACATTTGCTTCGTAGGCTCGAATTTGTAAAGTTCAAATCTATGTCATTATTCTCTTTATTTGCTTTACTGATCAATTCAACAAACAACAACCTTCGTTGATGGACACTTGTCCATCAATCAATACGTGTACGATATTACAATATTGATAAAATAAACATTGTTTATTAAACAATGTACTGTCTTATTGTGAACGTGCCTAAATTACCGTTTCTGTCTTCCTTTTTTTTCTAGGGGAAACTTTGGATCGATGAAAACACTACAAATGCACAGCATGTATGCACAAAATCATACATAAATAGAGTTATTTGTGACAGCGTCTATATTCGATAGTTTCCCCTAGAAATTTTATTCTATCTAGATCCCGTTATTTTGCGGATAAGCCATAGAAATGAACACTGTAATTGCTAGATTTTTGTCAGATAACTATTATAATGTGTTGAAATCAACCTGACAATTTTTTGAACAAATGTTTGTTTTACATCAGTCCTACTCTTAAATTTTCCGATGAAATTAAAACGATTGAAATAAATGATTTGAACAGGTCAAGATTTCTCTTTTCATTCATGTTTTCCTTTACTATTTATAGAAATAATAATTCGATCACACAATTTCTGACCATATGTGGAATTGTTTTATCACATGTGAAAGAATTCTTCGTATGACAAAAGTGGGTCGGATCGCATTATTATTTCACATAGATTATATCTGGAGACAGTGAATAATTAAAAAAAGAAATGTGACAGTCAAACCACCATTTTTTTTTCTTTTGCTGTTTCAACTTATTACAACATAAGACAATAATCAAAATACAGGTCAGTCGGTTTTGTGTATGCAAATTGAAATCGGTAAATTGGAAATGGATGGATTCCAAAGTAAACGTAAGCTTCAAATAGGTAAGTTTATCAAGGTTTTTGAACAAAAGGGATTGTTACATTATATAAAAATGACACGAATCGAAGAAAAAAAGTTTTTAGGCTTTCTTCTGTTTCTTCACACAGAAATTATGCTCCATAAGAGACTGTATAAAATGCAAAACTGTAGCACTGCTAGCGCCACTACGGACAACTATGGAGTTCTAGTCTATTGGTTGCAACTGAGCAAAAGTCTTTTCACTATTTGGCGGCAACTTAGTGTAGATTACATTGAATTGCGTCGTGGCGCTAACAGTGTGACATTTTGGGCATAATTTCGGTACGTGTTTCTTAAATGAATTCGTTTATAAAGCTAATTTATTTGAAACTACAGTGGATAGAGTAGGGGATCTACAGTTGAACATTTTTCGTTCAATAAAATGTCCACTACGATATGAGCTCAAATTGATGCGAAATACGCGAGTGCAATCAATATGATTCACACACTTAATATTTATGATTGATATAATTTATCTATTCAATTGAAAAAAAAGTATAATATTCTATGATTAAACGAATGGGCAATTCAAAATAATTTCTTCAAATAAAACGAAAAACCATTTATCATCTGCTGTCTTTCTTATTGGTTTATGTGAACCTTGAAAATATACCTCCACGCTTTTAAAACAACTAAAAATACCTTACAATCTTATCAATATATTGATTTAAGTAGATAATGAAATGTTGATGTATCTGTGTGGGACAATACTTTGTCGAATTTCAAAAAATTCAAAATGTAAATGTTTGATTGCGTGCATTTACTTACCCATTGGAGAGTCCACCGTTATAAAAATTGGGACTGCCGTTTTCGGATGAGCTAATATCACGTTGTCGAACAATATTTCGACCGGTGCTGTGATTTGATGTGCGACCTTTTTCATTGATTTTGTTCGCATCGATGCGACTCAATCCATTCATGCTTTTTGACCGCGGTACACCGCGTCCTGGTGACATTGATACAAATTTACGTGACATTGAATGAATTCGTCTGTCGGAACATTTGCTAGTTTCTATTGGAATCGACTTAGTTGGCATGACAATGGCTGCATCAAGTTCAATACTTGGTGGTCGCACGACCATAATTTTTTAATTAAATGCATACAGTTATAATTACGACGAAACATTATCATTTTGTCCACCATAAATTCATTTTAAATTATTTCTTTTTCTCTATCCACATAAATTTAATTATTGTTCATTTTAAACTCATCATCAATGACGATTCGCCGCTTTCAAAGAACACCACCTGTCTTAAAACATACACACAAAAAAAACAGAAGCCAATGGTAAAAATAATTAAAACTTTTGGTGCATAAATCTCCTGAAATATAACACATTGAATTAAACTAATCAGTTTTTTCAACTTGGGTTTGCGTGCAAGAGAAAATTTAATTGTACATTGTACATGTAGGTGGTCAGGCGATTATTTATCGACTTTGCATTTCCAAAATGTAAACAAATGCCCGAACGAAGGTGTGCATGCTAACGCTTTATTCAACGGATTATTCGTTTTTAAATCGATGACGGCCTCTAAATCAAATATTTACACATAAATATCGGAAAATCTCAATATTGAAACAAATCGCAACAATTTCAAGAATAGAATATTGTAAAGGTAATAACTCACACTCAAACATTATCATACATACACACACCAATGAATCAATATTATTTGAATTTTCAACAGTAATTTCCTCGAAGTTTTTGTGCAACGTAAATAATGTGGATTGCCGGTGTAGTTAAAATAACGAACCGCACAAAATATATTTGATATCTTGATGTCCACATTAACCAAAGTCTTCGTCACGCGACACACACAAACTTCATATGCACAATACCATTCATCGAAATTACAAAAGCGTTTCGAAGAAAAGAGGAAAAAAATATTATACTCATATCGAAGTGGATAGAGCGTCGATGTTTGCATAAATAAGTAATTGGCAACGCAACAACAATTGCTTAAAGAGGGGAATATAACCGAATCAAACTTCTGTGTTAAAACATTTTATGGAGTTAAGCTTTGTGCACTTGAATCGGTCTAAACAATCGGTCAAGTTCAAATGTAACAATTTGAATTTCGGCTCACTGATATAGCGATAAATAAAACTCATTAATGAGTGAGCCAGTTTTGTTTTTCATTTTCTTAGATTGGATTTGGAAATTTGAATAACGTGTTTGTTTTTCTTTTTGTTATAGCATGGAGTTCAAACAAAAACAACCACAACAAGGTTGTATCATAAATCATTAATATTTGTCCAAATAACACGATGATGAAAGTACAGACAAATATTTGAAGAAGAAAAAAGTAGACCGATTTATTTAAGTTCATTCCATTCTAGCCATTTAATGCACATGGAAAACACCACTTTATCGGATTTGCTTTTCGTTGAAGAGTGAATTTGCGCGCCAAAATAGACGGTAGATCTATTAAATCATGTTGAATGCAATTTCATTCATTTGGATCCATTTGGATTGAACTAATGCAATGAAAATAATACAAATGCAAAGTCCAAAATACACTAACTATTCACAAAAACACCAATTCACCAAACACCCTTTTTCTACCGATCACGTCTATTTTATAGTAACGACCGAACTCAACTAAAATATCAAATTCGAATTTTACTTTCATGTGGTTCTTCCACCTTCCACTTTGTGGGTGGACTATAGATATTCCCCCTTCGTTGCATGCATGAACAGAAAAAAAAACAAGCGTTGTCGTGGAAAGCTATTAATCGGATACACAATGTTTTTTTTATTCTTATTTCCATTACCATTACCATGTTTATTCGACCCCCGCTTGTCGATTGATTTTTTTTATTTTCCATTTTCTCGACTGACCAGATTCGTCATACAGTATTATCAATGAGAGAAATCGTGCACAAACCAATACACATTAATGGTAACTATCCTTCAAACTATTACAATGCTGTCTGATTTCATTCAAATTATACTTACCGCGTTCATTATGAATAAACTATTTGAGCACACATTATTCATTAAGTATATTTAAAAGCAAGCCGTCCCATATTTCGGTGTATGAGACGGGATGCGTTATTATTTTTTTTTTACAAATTCATATCATATGTTTCTAAAATCATTAGCAAATTAGATACTTTATTCAACATTTAGTCTTACAAAAAAGAGAGATTTCTGTCTCACAAGTTGTCTCACACAACTCGAATGTCTGCATTTTTACGAGTCACTGATCAGTTAAAAAACTCAGATTTAAAACATTTTGGATCCACTCTTCATTTTCATCGTTTATTTTGCAACATTTTGCCTAACTTCGAATTTTTGTGGGAATTTCGGCCATTTTTATGAAAATTCTTTTTAAGATTTCCGTAAATGTTCACTGAAGAATCGAAAATCTGAAGACATGTTTGGGTGTTAGAAATAAATCACCAAAATTCTGCGTCATTCCATTTTCATTTTTTGCTTTCTTAGCAAATAGGCATAAATAAATGAATTGGCCAAAGAGGCTCAATTTTAAATCTTATCACAAAACGTATAGAGTCATCAAATCCCACCATTGGTGGCCACCAAATTGTTTCCACCAAATCCCTGGACAAACTGTCAAACTGCAGGGCAACCGTAAAAAAATGTTCAAGCATCACAATCAGATTGATCACAATCAGAAAAAAAAACAGATTTAAATAAACCACAAAATTACCAGAAATTACTATAGAAAAGAAGAAATAATTTTTGATCATTTATTTTAGTCAAAATTCATTTTTTATTTTACAAATTAATATAAGTCGTCCTTCGTTTAAAATATCTGCAAATGCGCTGCAGAGATACATACCACTGCGTAGATAAAATATATATTGAATAGTTTTTATATCTTGTGACCGTGACTTCCAATACTTCGTGATTCAAAAATATTTTAATAACTTCTTTAATGGATCACGATAGTGGATTTGATCGTAAAGTAATTATTATATTGGCACATGTAACATTTTTAAATGTGTAAAGGGCGCGATTTGCGTTTAAATAGGAATCCACAAAGTAGCAAATTTCAACATTTTCAAAAGTTTCGAAAGTAAAGATGTTTCACGCGAAAATTGAGCGCTTTATTAGCATTTGTGATATTTTGATTGTGTGCCAAATTGTAGTGATTCAATCAAAATTTAATCTAAAATCGGTTGATTTCCTGAAGACCTTCCAGGATCCACTAACAAGAAAATTGTGCAAATTAAGAACCGTAAAATATCTCTATCCAAAACTAAGGAACCCTGCTGCTCGATGAGTCGAATCGAATTCCACATTTTTGCACTTATTTTGCAGAATGAATTGATTGAATATAATGGTTACCGTGCAGAGGAACATAATGTCATCACCGAAGATGGATACAATTTGACGATTTTTCGATGCAATTCAAAGAACCGATCACCAGACAAGGATAAAGTAGTAGTTTTACATCATGGTTTGCTAGCATCATCTGATGATTATTGCATGAACGTTCCGAGTCAATCATTGGCATATATTTTGGCGGATGCCGGCTATGACGTTTTCTTATCTAACTCAAGGTATATATTATAATTTATATTATATAACTTTATTTATCTTATATTACTGACGTTTTTTTTTATCTATCTAATTATCGAACTCGAGGGGCAATTCTTATTCACGAAGTCATATCACACTAACTCCAAATGATAAACGATTCTGGAACTTTTCATGGTACGTGATAGCCATTTATGATTATCCAGCCGTGTTTGATTATGTTATTAAAGAGACCAAACAGACGAAAGTGAATGTTGTGGCCTTTTCGATGGGCACTACATCTATGATGACCCTTTTATCAGATCGGCCTGAGTATAATGATTACGTTCGTGCGGCGAGCCTTATGGCACCAGTCGGATACATAAAATATGCTGGAGCTTTCTATCAAACACTGGAATCTTTTCACAAATTTTTAGTAACTACCATTAGATACCCGTGAATGCCTCAAGTGTTTACTTTTAATTTCGAAAATATTTTTAGGTAAGATTTTCCAATACAGAACTGCTGCCAAAAGGTATTCTCACTGAATTATTTGCCACATTTTGTGGCGCTAGTTTTCAACCACTATGCGAAAAGTTATCTTATATAATTTTTGGCCCGAGTCAAGGACAAGTTAATCACGTAATTTAAATTATGTTCACTATTCTCGTTTTTTTCTTAATGTTTCTTCTTTTATTCCATTTCACAAGACAATGATGGCGAATTTTTTCTGTCATTTACCAAGTGGTACTTCATTAAATCAAATACTTCATTACGGTTCAGAAATACGTCATAACTATTTTGGAGAATATATGCGAGGCTCGACAGTACCACCAGATTTCAATTTGTCGCAAATTCGGGCCCCAATCTCACTGCATTATTCACCTAATGATATACTAGGCGATCCAAAAGATGTGGCAAAATTAATTCCAAAGTTAAACAATTGTCTGGCTCGTGTTCAATTTGTAAACCAAACGAAGTTTAATCATTACGATTTTATCTGGGGAATCCAAGCGGCTGAATTGGTTTACTCAAATATTATGTCATTTTTTAATGAACATCAATAACATTTTCAAAAGACAGTCTAATAACATAGTGAAAATAGAAGAAGCTTTAACATTCTATTGTCATTATTGTCAAACTGAAAAAGATAATAAAATATACAATGATGAAAAAATTGAAAAAAAAAATATTTTTTTATTTACGGTAAGAATTGCATTTCCGTACAATTCATTATATGAAACAAGCGACAGCCAGAATCAATATCACGAAATAAAGTCATTTTTCTATCGAAATAAAGCAAAAAATGTCAACTTGAAGGAAATCATGAGTGCCCTCAGAAAATCAGTTCTGGCCACGGCCCTGAAAGCAATGTATGTATATGTACAAATTCATTACAATTTTCCCTTAAAAAATTTAAATACATTTTTTATTGTCAGATGTCATCATAAGTGAGCCACTAAATTTGCCTTGCCGTAGCGATTTCGAGCAATCACTTACTAGTATTTTTGTTCTTATTAATATTTTCTTCACATTTCCTTTGTCCAACAACAATCTCTGACTGACTTTTTTCAATCCAAATAATTTGGAACTTGCCGTTTTCTGGTAAAAAATGTGGGTCCGGTTGAATTCTTCTGAAAAAAATACGGTAAATTTTTTGCATGGAACATTGGTTCTTTAGGAAAAGAGCGTAATGTCACCACACCGTTTTCAGCCGTTTGAGCTAAAAGTTTATGCCTTTTCTAAGAAGAGAAAAGAAAACTACTGCGTTGTACATTTGAAATTATTTATTTATTTATTATTTAGGGTATCACTAATAGTTTTATTTACATAGTATTTTGAAAGAAATTTCCTTGCTTATTTGTTGCGAACTAAACCCTGAATGCTATTGAGCTTAAATTGAAATTTTAATGAAAGTCAACCGTGATTAAGGAGATCTTAGATGAGCTAATATTACTGGGATACAAACCCAATTGTAAAGATATTTAAAAAAATATATCGCTTGATATATGCGCTTCATGTTTTGTTGTTGTTATTGTTTTTATTTTTGCATTAGATCAAGTGATTTAAACCAAACTCCATTCGTTTATTTCGCATTTGGCGTTTCGGTATTTTCTATTTTTTTTTTTATCAGCAATATTATTTTGTTTATGATTTAGAGATTGAATATGTAGCTGAATGTGTTTCAATTCACCAGCACTCCATTTTTAGAAAATTTTATGAAATTTTTTGTTTAATGTTGAATAGCGAAAAGAGACATATTTTTTTTGTTAAGTAAATACTTGTTTACTGTTGAAAAATGAAAGAATTTCTTGAGTTTTTTTTTTTGAATATCCAAGAAATGTGTCTTGTATTAAATCCGCTTAAAATTGATGACTTTAATCAATCGAAATGCATTAAATTTGTTACTTTTTTCGTGAATTTAAAACAAATTGTCAAATTATTCATTATAATAAACATTCATGTCGCATATTATTATTGAAATTATGAAAATTATATTATTGAACCATTTTCACAATGTGGTAAAATTGTGTCTAAAAAAAACAAAATGATTTTATTATTGAAATTGTATAGTAATCTTTCGAAAATTCTCGAAGTTCGAAATTTCTTCAAGTATTACTTCATATGCCTTGAAATTGATTTTTTTTTAATGCAAATATATGAGTGAGTGACGATTTGATGAATGTAATTTTGGGTAGTGCTGCTGCATACATTACTCCGATCAAATAAACTCTACACTTTTGTTATTATTTGTCATAAAACATGAGGGTGAATATCATGTCATGACAAAAACAATATTCTTCCATATTTAAGCTGCGGCAGATTTGTTACGCTACGATACGATCGATGTTTTATCACAGAACCAGTAGTGGTGGTTTTTTTTTGCTTCTTCATACTTCATACCTGATGTATTTTGATGGAATTCATATCTAAACCAAATCTAATGATTTCGGTGTATAGTGATTCGAATTTGTATTGTTTAGTACATTATTTGATGTCAAATAGTTATTATGTGTTGTGTTACGTGCTTGACGACATTGCGGACAGAACCATTTGTCTTGTGGATTGATGTCAGTCGCTTTAATACCGACGCATTCAAAGTGAAACCATTCGATTGAACAGTTTTGAGCATCGCAAGCGATCATTTCTGACATCTCGTCGTATGGTCGACGGCAGTAACAATATAAATTACTATCATTTCTTGCACTTTCTTGTTTCGATTTATGTTGAATGCCATTGAATATGGGCTGCTGTTGCATTGAAGACATTAATAGATGCGATGATAATTGTTCATTTTGTGAATGTTGTTGGCTTAAAACGAATGGTGTGTGCGGTGCAGATGATTGTGGTGGCGGTGATGGAGATAATGAAAATCGTTTTGGTGGTAAAAGCGTATGATCTGGTCGAATGAAGGGCATCTGATGTGTTTGCGATCCGGTCTTGATTGACTTATCCATATCATTATCGCCAGCAATCGATTTATTAAAGTTGATTCGTGATGATGTTTGACTAATGTGTAATTGTCCATCCGAGTCACTGTCCGATGTCTGATCATCGTATTGATCCGAATTTAATTTTGGTGATGACATAACTGGTGGAACCCGTATTGCATTGTTCGAATGATTGGGTGTTGAATATTTTGTCTGATTCGGCGGCCGTGGAATACCGCGAATTATAATTTTTGGAATCGTTGGTGTTGATGATGACATTCGCATTTTTTCTTTTATCTTTGCCAATGTACGATTTTTGGTGCCAGGTGTCGATTTTGGTGTTCCTTTCAACGGTATTTTGCGTTGATTTGGTGTTTTTGTTCCCGTTTTAGATAGTCGCAAAATATTTTTCAATGTTCCAGTTCGATTGTTTTTCGATGATGGTTTCGGCAAATCTTCTTTGCTCCATGTTAGATTTGGCGGTGGTGTTGGTTTGAATGGATTTTGATAGCTTGTATTGAGTGTGCTTGCTGTTGACATACTCTCTTCATCGCTGGTATAGCCATAAAATTTATTTGGTATTCGGCGACGTTTTGATCGTTTTAGCGGATTATCGGCATCCGAACAACTGCTTGTGCTCAATCGCATTAAATGTTGTTTATGTGGTGGTAGAGTGGCCGGAATATTATTATTGGGAAGTGAATCGATTGGTGTTGCCGTTGCGATTGGTTGTAATATATTCAAATTTGAATTGATCATATGTGGTGGTGCGTCAATTTGTGATGTGATGAATGGACTTATTGTTTCCGATATTGTTGTTAGCGATGATGTTAACGCCATTGTCGTTGATTCCATTGGGGATTGGACGGGTAATATTGTATTTTGTGAAATTTGATGACATTCATACGGATTGGGTCTTAAAATATTTGCTTGTTTCTGTGGTGAACGCGAATTTTTATGAGTTCGACGTCGTTTTTTGGTCTTCGTTTTTTGCACTCTGGCCAGCTGTTCTTCGGGCAGTAATGGAGTCGATGGACGACTTGTTGTGCTCATATATGGCATGCCATTGACCGGATTTAATGTTTGCAACATCAATTGTTGTCGTTTTTCTGCCAACATTTGAATTGCAAGCTTTTGTGGATGCTCATCGTAGAACTCTTCGTCTGTTTCGGATTCCGTTGTTTCTAAATCCGATTCAACTATCATTGTATAGATGTTTGGTTGTGTCATGACTTTTAGATCATTCGATGTTGTAACAACGTCCACAACTTCCATATCAGATGGCTTTCCAACGTCAATCGTTTCAGATTCGTCACGTTGTCCTTCAGCATCATTTTCATCAATTGTCGATTTCAAATTGATCGCTGGATCTTCTTCAGTGGATACTTCTTGTTTTGGTTGATCTTCATTCACTTCCAACTTTGGTTCAGCATCGAAATTTGTTGGTGATTTTCTTTCCGGTGTTGTTGTCATACGTTCGGGTGTCTTTCGAGTTTTTGTCAGCACTTTTTTACGTTTTCCTTCCGCTGAACTTGAGCTATCGCTGCCAGAATCAGAGCTAGAACTACTTGATGAACTACTGCTTGAGCTGCAACTACAATTCGATCCACATGAACAACTTGAATCCGAGTCACTTGAATCCGAAGACGAATCACTTTCGTCGGCTTTTTTCTCTTTCTTCAACTCCTTGCCGGGGCTTACTTTTTGGTCTGTATGTTCGACAACATTTTCGCTTTCAGCATTTGGTAATACTTCACCGTCGGTAATGGTTACAGTTGACTGGACTGGCAACGATGCCGATGATTGTGTATCCAAATTTGTGGTGGCCGGTTGTGGTTCGGGTGCAACCAATGTAATTTTTATTTCACCCTTTTCATTTTCCTCAATAATTGGTGCAAACGATGGTATATGTTCGACATTCGATACTTTTGATTTCTTTACGAGCGGCTTATACATCATCGGATAATCATGATCGGACTGGCTAACATGTAACAATACCGGATTCTCAGCAACTAATCGATCTTCATCGGCATGCTCCAATGTTTTGTCTTGCATTTGATTGGCTTGATAAGTTTTAAAGTTTTCCCATATATCAGCCTCGAGCATCACAGCTTTGTCGTCATCGTCATCGGCAGCGGTTTTCAATTTCGTTGTTGGAATTTCATGCGGCAGAGCTGGTAATGAAGACAGTGAATGTCTTGAATTTTCAGCAGATGGATCTTGTGGTGCATTGCTCTCAGCATCAGAATCTTCACTGCTATCACTTTCCGATAAATTAACGGTTGGTAAATTCAACAAATCACTAAAATCGGAACGATTCTTTTTCAATTTTCTCGATTTATTCTTTTGATTTTGACGTTCGCCCGACAATTCGTTTCGATCATTTGACGTTCCTTGTTTAAGCAACTTTTCCTTTTCTTCTCGTTCCCGTGCATCATGCTCAATGACACTAATAACCGCATCAATTGGAGCTTCTTGTTCAATTTCTTTCGTTGAATTTCTACTCGGCGAATTCGAAGGTGAATTAATTCGCGAAGAAACACCTTGTGATGAATCTGGAAACAAAATGCAAAAAATAAAATAATAATCCAAATTTAAGTACATATTAGCTATTTTGATTTTAATTTAATCAATTTAATTGTTATTTTACCTCTTAGTGAGACAATTTCGACTTCTTCGTTGAACAGCTTCTCTTCAGATGGTGGAGGAAGTTCGGGCATATAGTGTAGCGAAATATGCTTAATCTGAAGCTTCTTCGACACAAATTTCTGATCACAATCGTCAAGCGTGCATGCATAAGAAATGCTTTCCGGTTCATGTAAACGTTTATGCACTTTGAGCGCAAGTGCTTTTGAAAAGGTTAAATTACATATTTCACATTTGAATGATGCGGGCGGAACACAGAAATGATAAACGTGCGGCCATTTCTTTTCAAGACATCGTTTGCACATGACACTTTCGGTGCCATGCTTCCAGAATAAATGCCGTGTTATATCGGCTTTATTGCGATACGTAATATTACATCGATAGCATAGATGATGTAATTTATGTTTCCATACATGACACGATAATTTACTTTGATCGCTGCATTCTTCGAGGCAAACATCGCATGCCGAATGCTTCTTACGCAAATGCACCATTAAACGAAAGGCTGACGGTATATCGCCTAAATTGCACAAAACACAACGAAATTTTAAATCGATGGGAATCAATTTGGTTTGAGCACCCGGACACATGTGACATACGAGCTCGCTATAACTGTAAAAATTCGATCGACACATTAAACAAATAAGCGCCGATCTCAAATGCATTTTCCGATTGTGTAAATAAAGATCTTTGTAAATTGGACTATAAAAACGGCATTGGAAACATTCAAATTGTTTCACATATTGATAGTTTGGATCGACATTTTGACTATCATATGTATCCATGTTGAAACACGTATCGGCCAATTCATCCAGGCCGGTCGTAATTTTTTGCTCAATTGTTTCGGGCGACAGCTCTTCTGCGGTAATGCTGTCTACCGTCGCACTGAATCGATGTTCTCCAATTAAATGCTCGGCAAGACTAACACCACTAACTGCAATCGATCGTGCATGATTACAATACAAACAACTTGGATAGGTGAATTGTAAACATTTCTGAAGGAAACTTGTGATTGGAATACAATCCAACGGTTGATCCAATATGAATTCAGTTATTGGACGTTTATCTTCCATAGTCTCCGGAACATCGGCATCAACATCAATATCAACATTGACTTGCTCTTGATTTTCTTCGTTCACATCTGGTGCATTTGCAGCAGCTCCGGTATGATTTTCATTTTCAACTCCGGCTTGACCGTCCAAAATGCTATCGGGTGGAGTCATTACATTTTGATTATGTTCCAATGTCGAATAATAGTTTTCCTAGAAAAATCAAATGAATTTTAATGAGAAATTCGATCGGAAAAATGTGTGTTTTAATAATCTTACATTTATATTTGTTATGTTATTTACATCCTGAGCAACATTTGTTTGTCTCATGTCTGTTATTTGTTCCTGTATCGATTGAATTTCGGGTGAAATTTGCATTTCATTCAAGTGGCTCAGATCGGCGCTATGCATCGGTGTTGGTACTTCCTGTAATGCTGGATATTCATTATTTTTGACAGATTCGATATTCTCATCTAACTCGATCGATGTATTTTTGCCCGATGAACCACTTTCGTTTATGCTTTCGTTCAAACCATCATCATAGCTGTTGGCAATGCGGTTGGTGTTTGATGTGCTTTCATTTACATTATATGAATAATGGTGTACGTCGGCATTCGGCTGTACAACTGATGATGATTGCTCCAATTCCAATACTGTTTCATTCAAATTAACATCATTCGATGTATTGCCATGCTCATTTGACACATTTTCGTCGTCATCATTTTCATTTTCGCTGTCGCTATCACTTTCAGTTGACGATTGCTCAGATTCAACAGGATTTTGAAACGGTTGCGATAGCTTAAGTTTTAGTTTTGGTACTTTCAATGATGTTTGTGATTCTTCGGTTCTCTGCATTGCATGCATTTGTTGCTGTAAGAATTTAGAGAAAAAAATATATTCCAAAAAATGTTTGTATTTGATATTTGATTTATTTTTTTGTGGACGGGGGTTTGTGCACATTTCCATACCTGAATGCTGTCTAGTTGCATTTGTATGTTGGTTATATCTGACATGTTCGGATGACATTTATTATCGTTCAGATCGTTTGTTAAATTGTTGTCATTTTCGAAGCTATCACCTTCATTTGGGCTATCATTTTGTTCATCGACATAAGATAATTGTTTACCCGTCTGGATATTGTTCTATCGAAATAATGCGAGCATTAAAATATTAAATAAATGTTGAATATTCATGATGAAATCAGCAAATGTTTACCTTGGTATTGTTCAAATTTATTCGGAATGGCTTGATTACACGTTTCGGGCCATTTTCCTTGTTTTCATTTTCTGCATCTGAATCGGCACTGCTCGAATCACTATCGTTGTTTGTATCATCGCTGTCTGAGCTACTTTCACTGTTGCTATTACTTTGATTTTGATTAACAGTTTTTCCAACCGACACCGGCCTTTTTTCGAAGTCCAAATCGGATTTGGTCGGAACATTCAAACCAGTGCCGAAATTTGTATTTGGTGTTGAATATCTTGTATCCAATTGACTACTATGCACATATTGTCCATTCGGCAAATTTTGATACGGCACATGGTTGGTTTGATAGATGTTTGCGTTATTATTTGGCAATACATTTGGATTATAGAAGTTAGTGAGCGATTCATTGGGTCCTATGTACAATTTCGATGCCTGTATTGTGAAGTGAAAGCAAATTGTGTCAAAATTGATTCATTTGTCGAGAAAAATGAAGGTGTTTCAATACAAAAAAAATTCAAATTTACCAGAGGTGAATGTGAAATATTTCCATTCATTGTTGTTGTCATCGGTGCCATCTGAACTGGTTGTTGTTGTGGTGGTGGTGGTGGTGGTGGTTGTGATTGTGTTTGATGATGAAGATGGTGTGGTGGAAGTAAACTATTCAGTCTGTGATCAAACATTGGGATTTGTGCAACGCCCGGTGAACTTTGATAATCAGCATAGTGATTGGTTCGTGGTTCTTGACCCAATAGTGCATTGCGTAGGAACGTTTGTTGTGAAATATTATTTATACTATTGCTTTGCACCGAACTTGGCATCACCGGTTGAATTGGATTTAATGCAATGGCGGCACGTTTATGTTTATGCTTAGATGATTTACTTGAAATAAGAGCGCTACAATTGCTTTTGTGAATAAATTTGAGTCCACAAACCGAACACGGTTTCATGAATGTTTCGCACGAATGTGCTGTAACATCATCGTTTTCAGTGAATATATGCTCACAAACGCAACACATGAGAAAACATTGATTGCGCAACGATCGCAACAGATCATCTTTATGCTCATAAACAAATGGCTTATGAACATGCTTCGATTCCAAATGGTTAACCAAACGTTCGGCATTTGGAAAAATGCCCAAACAATTTTCAAACAAACAAATGAATTTATTGTGCACCTCACGAATATGATAAAAAAGATTCCATTTTTCATAGTAGGTACCGCACGCCGAACAGAGAAACACTTGTCGTCGAATGCGAATATGAGTATTTACTTTCTTTGCGTCGTCCGATTGTGTATGAGACGGCGTAATTGTTCGGCTGGGCTGGATTATCATTTCATTGGCCACATTAATTGACACATTCGTCGTTGATTTTCTACCACCAGGCATGCACCCAATAAATGCAGTGCTACTATCACTAATACTTATATTATTCATGTTGTTCAGCGTTGTATTCGATATTTTATCATAATTGCAGGGCATTTGTGCTGGATTTGTTGTAATATTGTAGGTATCAAGCGGTACCGTTGTTTTTGAAAAATGTTCCACCATACAATCGTCTTGAAAGTGTTCTTTCACCTTTTCGGTGAGTATATCTTGCCCCGGTTGTTCACTATTATCACATGATGGAATTTCATTCGGCAACGTCACTAACGGACTACTCATTTTCGGTGTTAATGCATGTGATTGAATATTGTCGTCTAGATCGTATATTGAGTTGCATTTCAATTGTTGTTGTGGCTGTTCGTGTTGCTTGTACTCTGCTTGTGGTGCTTCAATTGTTGAAATTGTATCGACTTTGGTGGCTGTATGACCGTTCATATAAATATGCCCAAATTCATTGATGTTTTTATCTTTGGTCATGGACAATAGTTCATCGTGCGGTAGCTCACTGTCAAAATTTTCATCGGCATTCTCTTGTGATTTCGCAAGCACCATTGGTAAATTATGGTTTGTTTGAACAACGGAATTGATAAAATTATCACAATTGTCGGTTATTTGATTGGGATTAACCGTGCAATTCGATAATGAATCATCTACAGCTATTTGATTATCAATTAATACTATACTATTTGTTTGATTGTTCAATTTCATTTGTTTTTGCGCCGTTTCATACGGATCCGTATCGGAGTCGGAGCGTTTTCGTTTATGTTGCCTGTGTTCGGCATTTATTTCATTTGCTAATTGATGGCTCGTTGTTTGTTCATTATTTTCACATGCAACGCCGTTCATCGATTCTGATGGCACATTCATACACTCTTCCACATCATCGTGAAACTGATGGTTTTCCGTTCGACATGTGATTTTTTCTGTGTGATCTAAAAATGATAAAAGAAAATTATTAAAAATTGAATAAATTTCATCGAAATGTTGATAATTTACCTTGTTCATGCTCAAGTGATGCAGCCGCATCTTGCTCAAGTGGTTCAGGCCTTGAATTCACATCAGCATTGTTGCACGGAGGTAACGTTTCGTTCTCTTTCACATCCTCTATTGAAGAACATTCGGCATTTAATATCACTTGGTCGGAAATTTGGTTCTCAACTTCAAATGTTTCCTCGATTTGATTTGTTTCGACCACGGGTAGAAATGTCGTTTCACATTGAACATCGTCATCTCCATGAACATCGGTCGATATTTTAAGCATTTTATCATCAACTGTATTGCTTATATCACTCGAGTCGATCGAACCTTCGTTTATAATCAACTTTGTATCAACCGAATCACTATTCGTACTTTGATTTGAATTACCTTCGTCGGTGTGATGTGATAAAACCGGAGATTGTTGTATTAGTTCATCGACTGTGAAATCTTGCTGTATGTCATTTCCACTTGTGCTACTCCGTGATGAACCATTTAATAACGGTTCACCGGTTGGCGGTGGTGTTAACATTGTGGTTGGTATCAATTCAGAAGGTTCATCTGTTGCATTGTCTTCCTCTTCGTCCTCATCTTTTGTCGTTTCGGATGAATGGTGCGTATTTTCAATGCAAATATCATCGACAATTAAATCTTCGTTATGGTCCATTTTCCAAAAAAAAAGTTGTTCACAAATCAGTATCCTTTATGAAAATCTTTAAGACCTCAGCGATATGCATTCACTATGTTTATTGAAGAAGTGTACAACTAAAGAAAATCAAAATAAACATCAAACCAAATTGCGTTATTTAAATTCATCATTTTTTCAACATTTATTCTTTTTCTTTTAAATGTTACGGTGACTTTGTTATTTTATTATATTTAAAAAGAAAAAAGAAAATATTTTTCAAAATTTTAGTTTCACTGCAAAGTTTTTTAGAAACACAGTAAAAAATTACTTACTTTATAAATTTTACGATGCAAAAGTTGGCGTTGAAATTCTCTTTTGGTGTTTGTTATGAACTTTCTCTTTATTCAAACTGGCAAGAAGTGGTATTCTGCACCAGCCAAATAAGAAAATTAGTTGAAAATCAAACGAAGGTAAAAGTGTGATCCATTTGGGTACCTTCAGTATGACTTACGTTCATTCTTTATCCTTTTTACGTAAACGAATAAATATAATGCGCGTTCGTAAAGCTTCAAAGTTCATATAATATCTGTATAACATAAAAATTCATGAATATATACGAAAAAATCACACTCTAAACATTGGTATTCACCTTAAAATATTATTTTTCAGCGATTTTTTTTATTATCAGCTAGCGGGAAAAGTAGTATAGCTTTTTCAAATTGCAATGTTGCGATTTATTTTTCAAAGCACATTAAATTGACTTTTGTTCTTGATCTGAAAGTATAGAAAAAAATTGTTTTGGTTAAAGGTTTTGTATACGATCAATAATCATAAACATAAATAAATTGATCCCAATACTAGTTATTGAATATTCAAAATATTTTGTAAAAATGCAAACATTCAGGATTGAGCACATTGAATGGAATGCGAAGCATAATGAAACCGTTTTATCAACAGACATATTTCTCTTGAAATACCACAACTATTTTATCGTCTTCTCCGTTCGACACAACCTCTTTCTGTTTACATTTTGCACGAGACTTGAATTGACATTATGAATCACAGTATCTGACGTATGTTTCGAATGACTTTGAAATGGTGTTTCAGATTTTAACCGTTCAGCTTTGGAAAGCAATAAAATTTAAATTAATTTGACGCTGAATAGATTCATAAAATATGTCATTTGGTAAACAAAGACATTTTATTGTTTTTACAACATAATCAATCATGCGTCAAAAGATTTTGAAAATAAAAAAAAATATTTAATTTTGTTTAGATAATTCACTGAAATTATCAAAATTTCCACAAAAAAATTATTTTCGCGCCCAAAAATTTCACGCGGAGCAAAAAATGAAACATTCTCACACGCAATAACAAACAAACAGTACTAAAATAGCCATTCCTGCTTTGAGGCAAAAGAAAAGGAGAAAAAAAATCGTCACAACATATTGCTATTACTTCATATCGCTTCAATGTTGATGATATTTTTTGAACTAAAATATTGCGTCTCAACATTCCATTGTTTTGTTTGTGTGCGTTTATATTCACAAATACACACAACATGTACACGAGTATACCAAGCGAAGCGCACATGTACAACAGAAAATCACTACAATGCGTTTATCGTTTGATTTCATTGAAGAATGAAATTGTTTGCTGTGCAAATGTGCACGAAATGGTTCTTTTTTCCAAAATAAAACATTCAAATCACCAAATTTTCACATGAATTCTTGTATTGTCGAATTACATCGATCAATATTGAGGTTTATTCGTATTTCAGTAAAACTCACATTTTCCTCGAAATGTAACGAATACAATTGTTTTGTGTTTATGCTATATTTGCAAAATTATTCATAATTCATTAAAATCGAAATTGGATCGATTGTATAATTTACGAATGACTAGTGCACTTTTTTGTATTCAAAACATTAAATACAAACACAAACACACATGGATACATTGAATGCGAACAGAGAAAAAAAAACTCCATGCTGAACACGTGCAAAAGTAGCTTGCAGGTCAAGCAAGTTTATGCCGAAAATTCCAAACAAACCGGGATTTCATCACAATTGTTTTTATTGCTATTGCATAAATGCAAATGAATAATATACACAAAACTGAACGGGCAATTTATTGTTCTTTATCGCTGCGAAACAATAATTTTATCATTTCACATTTCCTGTGCTGAAATTCCGTGGAATCGATGCACATAGAAGAGACAGAGAAAAAAATGGATAGCGTTTGCTGTCGAGCTGTTTGTTTAATAATAAACACGTTGTCGTTGTCTGTTTTTCTTCAATATAATGAAATTACACACACTTTTATTACTGTTTTAAAACTCTAAATACGACATTTAATTTGGATATTAAATGCTGTAGATTCTCCATTGAAGCCAAAATAACAAATATTACGATTGTTACACTGTGCTTCTTTTTTTTTTGCTCTTTTCCCGCGTTTACACGTTTCGAATCAAAGCAATCATTGATATTATTTCTCGTTTCAGTAATCAAAATAGCATTGTTGACTTAAAAATGCTCACACCAAAATGTTCGCCTATTCGATTTATTCGATATGGAAATAATTCTCATTTTTTTGGTTCATTATGGTTTTCAAAGTGGTATTCAGAATATAAATGCTGTTGTTTCGATTCCTACTTCATTTTCTTGTTTCCGTAGACTATTTTAGTAGTATATTGAGACAACACGCACGCACACATATATTTTACAAACTCACACTTATTTGTTGTCTTGCTCACACTTAAATGTTTGACTACTCAATTCGATGTTGCTGTGCTTGTTTCGCTTCGATTTTTTTTTCTCTCGCTCGCCAGCCTTTTTTCGTGCCTATTGCTTTATGTCGACGAAAAACTCAAATTACAATTTTGCTTTTTTCTCGAATTTAAATCAATACAAATCTCAAACAAATACAGTCACTGTAATTCATTTGCAATGCAAAAAATGTTTTTGTTGACGAAAATCGAATGGAAAATAACACTTTTTACTATTTTTCATGAATTATTTTTTGCTTATCCATCGATGAATATACCATATTTTCTTATTATTTAATGTGACTTGACTTCGGATGAATTCGTATGTTTCCGTTTTCGTATATGGCAGCTGCCATATTCAAGTACGTTGTTTTTTCGCCGCGTCTCACAATGACAGACCATGTGTACAGAATCTGCATTATCGCACCGATGCTTTCGCTATTGAAAATATTGTAGTAGAGTGGAGTAGAGTTTCTCATCAATTTGCACAACATTTTAAAATTAAAAAAAATGTATTTTATGCGTAAATAGTATATTTACTAAATACCATATTTATCGAAAAAACGAAAAAAAAAAATCTCTTTTCGCGTATTCTCGGAATACAAATTAGAATGTTCTTCTTAATATTTGAGTGTATGTAATAATAATGTAACATTTGTTTATGAAACATTGTTAAAATGGAAAGATACGCATGCATCAAAATAGTGTCCAGCAATTGATTAAGTTGTTTTTTTTTGCATTCATCAGCCTAGAACTCTCGAAATAAAAAAAAGTTTTTATTCTATTCGTCCCCAAAATGAAATTCAATCAACTATGGATGCAAACAACGTGAAAATATGATTTTATTTGATTTTCTTTTTCGAATTTACAATATAGATATATTAATTATTCGAAGAATGGTCATGTTTAAGTTAATTTCTTTGAGTTTGACTTGAATTTTGAATCTCTTTGATTTAAATTAATATTTCGATTTGATTCACATAAAAAAAACTGGCGAATTGAGGAATCGGTCGAAAGCCCGCATATTCTTTTTACTCAAATAAAAACAAATAACATTTTGGGCTAAACAGCTGCCATATTCTAGTATGCTGGTTTTCGCCGCGTTTCCAAAAATTGTCCGATTATGCAGATGAGACGCGATATTTTTGAAATCAATTATAAAAACAGAAATTCAAAACATTCATAAATGAATACACTCCATAGAGAAATATTTTCTGGAAATAAAACACTTCATATTTGAAATAAATTGAATTGGGAAAGAAAATAAAACGGCAGTTGACGTACAATTTGTTTGGTTTGCAACCTATTTTGTGCGGATAAAAAGATTTTTTCTGTAGCATTTTTGTTTCAAATACTTACTCACAAAAAAAAAAAAATATCTGGAATAAAAAATGAAATGGTCATATAAAAAACTCATATTGTACTTTGGAATTGCAATTGTAATCGTAATTTATTTAAAAAAAATATATATATTCCGAGATGAAACGTTCTATAAACAATGTAAGCATGAATGCAATAACATAACAACATTATACTCTTCTCACTCACTCTACGGTATTGCGTTGATCACATGTTAGTTGATGGACAGCTGGAGCGCACACTATGACAGACAACTCTTAGTAGACATTTGTGTGCGTGTGACATCAGACAACTGTTGGTAGACATTTGTGTGCGTGTGACATTCCTATATGCTATACAGCCTAGTGAAAATTTACGGTGTACATCAATGCTGTTGATGATACAGAATGAGTACACCATATTGTGACAAATTTGATCTCACGTTCATACACACTCAAGCATTGTCTGTGTACACTGTCAATTTTTGTAATGCAAAAGACGAAATGTTGACTATGTTTTCGATTTTTTTACTTTTTTTCTATTCAATGTAAACAAATAGTCGAATGCCAAATGGAAAAAGGTTTTTTTTTTCAATAAAAAATGTATTTCAGCAGGGATAAAGCGATAGAAATTATGTATTTTTATGAATTTGTTGAATTTCACGGTCAATAATTCAAAAATACAAATAGCGCATAAACATTCACCGGCCGATACAGCTAAGTGATAGCGTGCAGGTGTTGTAATCTAGCAGTCGCGAGTTCGATCCTCACTGGTTAATAAAAAAAAATTCTCTCTCACAGGTTAACAACAACAAAACACTGTATATAATTCAAAACTCGCCGAGCCTGCTGCAATATGTATATACTATAGTAAGATTGAAAAATTCTCATACTAGTAATAATATAGATATACTAAGACAAGAATTCCACAATATTAAGATAGCAGTAAGGTATTTAGGTAAGATATACAAATAACGAGCTTACTGCGACTACTAGATTAGAATGGTATCGGCCAATTTATTGTTTTTTTTTTTCGTTTTGAATGCGGCCTAAAAAAGATTTTTAAAAAATAATTTTGACACATAGTTTACTTCATCAAATGAAATTCAATTATATATTGTTGATTCGAAAATTCAAACATATAC